AGTAGGGCATCAGCCATGATCTTAATGAAGAATCTTTGTCTACAAGTATTTTGAATTTTTTCTCTTTGCTGGGAGAAGACACTACTGTAACCTCCTTATTCTCAGAGGAGATGTGCCTTTGCTAACATTGGAACATTAAGGTATGGTTGTCTGTGTTGCTCGATATTGGAAAAGATACATCAGGAGTGAGGTCAAGGTTAGAGAGGTAAATTAGAGAGTCATCTAATTAGCGAGGCTAATTGAAACTAATTGGCAAGCTCTAGTAAGTGAAGACAGAGAGACTCAGACAATGGACAAACCCACAAGGAACAACTGTATTTAAGGAGTGGTGAAAGGAACTAGAGAAATTACTGTTGGGATGGAGACCCAGGAGAATGGATGAGTAAAAAATATAAAATGCAAATTAACTTAATATGCAGTATGGGAGGGGAGGTGAGAATGACAAAACACTTTGATATGAGAAATGAAGTTGTACATAAGTGGAGAGAATTTTCATGGTTCTGGATAAGATTAACTATTAAAACTATACTTCCCTATTTAAGTGAACATTATTTAAATGCAGTGTAATTTAATTCTTTTTATATGTTACTGAATTCTGTTCACTAGTATATTGTTAAGTATTTTTGTGTTTATATTCATGAGAGACGCTTGTCTATAGTTTTTTTTTTTTCTTCTTGTTCTGTCTTAATCGGGTTTTGGTCTCAAGGTAATGCTAGGTTTATAAAATGAACTTGGAAGTGTTTCCTCCTTTGGAAGGAACTGCATAGAATAGGTGTTTATTCTTTAAGCATTTAGTAGAATTCTCCAGTGAAAGCATCTGGGGCGGGAGATTTCTTTTCAGGGAGTTTTAAATTGACTTTACGAAGTCTGTTTAATAGTGATAGGCCTAATTATCTATTTCATATTGAGTGAATTGTGGTAGTTTGTGTTTTTTAAAGAATTGGTCTATTTCATCTAAGTTGTTGAATTTATTTGTGGAATTAGTCGTAGTCTTCCCTTATTATCTTTTCGATGCCTGTATTGGGGAGGAACAAACTTTCCTCTACCCTCAAGGTTTTTTTTTTTTTTTTTGCCAGTTTAGTAATCAAGTAGACATGAGATATATTAGCAAGAGAAAAATAACCAAATTTGGTACACACATATGTATCGGAACCCTGCATACATGAGAGTCAGAGACCCCACATGCAGGAGAGATTCAGATATAGAAAGGGAACAAGGTTATATAAGACATACTGAGCTAGGAAGATGAGGTAAAGTGCCCGAGGGGCTTCAAAGGGTCATTGTAGGTCACTGCAAGAACTGATGCTTAGTAAATAGAAGTTTGTCCTGCCCTGTAGATAGGTCAAAAGAGATTATCTCTGATAATCTCTTATTTTGGGCAAGGCTGTTAATTCAGGTTCTTCTAGGTAGTTAAAGGAGGGGCAGAAGTTTCTCTTGAGCCTGAACCGAAAATTGCCTTTAGCTCAGAAACAATCTGCATACCACAAAAGCACATCTTGAGATGACTTCTTCTGACCTCCCATATCTGCAGGGCCTGTAGTGATATTCCTTGTTTCTTTCCTGATGTTGGTAATTTGTTATCTTTTAACTTTTTTTTGGTCAGCCTTTGCAGGTTTTTCAAAATTCTTGTCAAACCTCTAGGATGTACTGATTTTTCTCTTTTCTTTTTCTTTTTTTATTTCATTGATTTCCACTTTTTACAGTCTCTTTCCTTCTGCTTATTTTGTTCTTTTTCTAAGTTCTTGAAGGAGCTACATACTCAATAACCCTAGAGTAGGGTTATTCTTTTGAGACGTTGTCTTTTCTAATGTAAGCATTTCATACATAGATTTTCTCTCAGCACTGCTTTAGCTATGCCCTACAAATTTTTTCATCTATAATATTTAATCCTCACAGTAATCCTGAGGTAGGTCAGGGTTTTCCACATCACGAGGAGGAAATCACATAACATTCCTGAACTCTCAGAGCTGTGCTGAGTCCTGAGCCAGATAGTCTAGCTGTAAGTCCAGTGTGGCCTTCAGACCTCCTCCTAGATGTGAAATTCTCTCTTTATTTTACAGCTTGTCTTCCTTGAACCAAGACTGTATTTAGGCTCTAAATCTTTAACTTGATTGAGAATGAAAATGTCAACTAAGACTCTCAACTGTCATGATTTATTGGGCAGTTACTTGGTACCCAGAACTTTGTGGTATTCCATAGAGGGGTTTCCAAATTGGTGAAAGAAAAATAGTATATAAGGAGTTTTTAATCCAGCTGGAGAGAAATAAATTACTTAAACTAATGAAGAGTTATGTTGTGGATCCCCTGATATTGGGAGGTTAGAGAGTTGAAAAATCCAGTGTAGTTGGAGGAAACTTTATGATAGAGGTAAGACTTTAAATGGCCCC